TGAAAATAACACAAATTTTGATAACACTTTAATAAAGCCCAAAGAGTGGATCCTAGTCACTGTCTGTGAATGCTAGTTCGACCTTTATTGTGCCACCAAGATACAATCATTTGAGAACAGCTTCTGCGTTCATTTACCCGTAATTGTCCGTACGACGATTGTGAAATTAGCAATTTTGAAAATAATTATTCAATTTCAGAAAAATAGTCAAGTATCTAAACTTTATAGTGTTCAAATGCCTTCTCAACGTGTCCTTGAAAAAATGGCACAATGAAAATCAAAGATGTAAGTCGGTCTATGAGTTTTAAAGTAAAACATATCTATATAGGGGAGATAATTTAACAAATTTATACGTTATATAGATATCTCTTGAGAATTTTTTTTAATTTCCATCGTGGCCTATATATTTGATATTGTTAACGTAAACAATATTACTAGTAAATGTTTGCGCTTAGATGAACAGCGAGACTGACCAATTATTCTAGTTCTCATTTCAAATACTTTGACTAAGAAGTTTCAAATATAATGGACATCCAAAAGATTCGTTGTTTTGAAAGAACTTACACAGACCGACGGATTAAGTTAAGTTGACACTTCGGTATTCTAGCGGGAAATAGATAATTGCAGAACCAAATGCCGTTTACTGGTGTTGGTAATAAGGCAGACTGAGAGTGTTCGATACCTAAGGTATACGTAGTTGAAATAAAAGTACAGAAGCTTCACGTCAACATTACTTACTATTCGAAGTATGCAGTACTTAATTCTTGATAGGAAAATGCAAGGAAGTTTTCTGCATGCCTAGCTTTTTCCATTTTCTTTTTTTTTTTTCTCATTATTATTTTTTTTGCCAGACATTCAGACGAGGTTGCCTCGTTTGCCTCATCAGTAGTTAATCTGCTGGTCCTAACTATTATTTCTATTGCAAAATCTCGATTGTCAAAACCTATGGGCCACCACTTTTCAAAAACCTTAATTGTATATGAATGTTTACCAGGTATACAAGGTCATGGCGTTTCTCCGACGGTTGATGACCAAATCCGTTGGAAGTGTACTGATTGATACTTGTTTGATATGTTTGAGCTTCTGATTTTTCCATTTGATAAGGGACTTTCCGATTTGAACTTTCCTTGGAGTTCGGTATTTTTGTTGTTTTACTTTTTAGTCTGGGAGAACAAGATTTATTTCAGTGTTAGTTGTAGTAAGTTTTGAAGAAACTCTCAGTAACTGCAAATACCCTTATTTCGGTGCTTTGCGTCTATTGTCTTAATGTTAGTTGTTTTTGTGTCTCATACCGATCTTTTGAGTTAATCTAATTGCAACTGGTTTTTACAATTTTTTCTTGTGTTGTACTGTTACACCACTGTCCCAATTAAGGGGTACTGAGCGCTCACAAACATGTTTAACCCTGCCATATTCTTTAAGTGCCTGTCCCAAGTCTGGAGCCTGTAGTTCAGTGGTTGTTGTTGGTTCATGTCTGTCGACTCATATTTGATTTTTTTGTAAATTGTTTTGTTATATATAATAAGGCCGTTAGTTTTTTCGTTTGAATTGCATCACATTTAACATGTCGGGGCCTTTTTTTTAGTCGACTATACGGAATGGGTATTTGTCTTTGTTGAAGGTCGTACGGTTGCCTATAATCGCTTACATCCACTTCATTTGAACCACGGTGGATAGTGGACTTATTGTCCGTGCAGTTCTTATATTTAACCAGCGTATCGTCCCTACAGGGATATCCTACTAAGGCTGCCATACCATAAAAACGTTTATCACACAGCTCACATTCTATTATATTTGCATTCCTAAAATTAATGTCATTTAGACTACGCGAAGCCATGTTTGTTATGTGCCACTGTCGACTAAACTACCTATTTAAAAGGAAGAGGTAGAAGAGAGCCAGAAGATCTTCCGAATGCAAAAAAAAAAAAGATGGACCTCTTCTGGCTCACTTCCGAAGAACAAAAAAAAAAAACACGCCCCGGGAGTCAGAATAGCTAGAGAAATTTAGGATTTTTGCCACAGTATACGGATTAGTTATATATTGTTTTAATAAAATTCAAATTATTTCTATTGAAGACAGTGGTCCAATTTAATCATTTCTGTTTTTATTTTTGTCTTATTTAAAACAAATTTATGTGTCAAGTATGATTTCGACTCGTGTTAAGTGTTTAATAAAAGAAAATTGAGTGACACAATTGAATTATACTTAGTTTATTTAGAAGAAATCTAACTTTAAAGGAACACAACTTTGCAAGGACAAAAGCGAAATAAGTAAATTCAAAATGATCATATGGTGTCCAGCGGGGCCTTGCAAACTTTACGGACGACTTGGTCCAGTCTGGCTTAAGAAATATAATGGAAACCAACATGAGATCAAGCTAAGGATTAGCTTAATTACAATTGATGCATGTCTTTCAAATGATACATAAAGGATTACGGAAAATATTGAAAATAAAATACATGTTACCCTCTGCTAACTAACTAACCAATTAATTAACTAACTAACTAAGTAAGTAACTAAGTAACTAACTAACTAACTAACTAACTAACTAACTAACTAACTAACTAACTAACTAACTAACTAACTAACCAACTAATTAACTAACTAACTAACTAAACTAACTAACTAACTAATAACTAACTAACTAAAAATAAATACATAAATAAATGTCAATGCTTTGATTTTACTAACTAACTAACTAACTAACTAACTAAACTAGCTAACTAACTAATAACTAACTAACTAAAAAATAAATACATAAATAAATGTCAATACTTTGATTTTACTTAATTCACGCTTAATATATAACAATTAACTGATGTTTTTCACGCAACTACTAAATGACTTCTTTAATAATTAGAATCACTATATAAATTTAACTTTGTATCAATTTCTTTGATTCAACAGTCATTTAAAATCATAAAATTGTTCAACTGTATCTAATTAAGTTTTAACAGGGTACTAGTGTTCAAAACAAACGTAATTCCCAGAAGAATATAGTTTTCAGCCGTTCAAGCGTTCAAATATGATCTGTAAAATATTCAACTAGGCTGCTGACTTAAAATAACGTTTTCTAAAGAGAGTAAAATAAGACGTAAAATTAAACTTTTTGATTTTTGAAATCCAAATACAAACAAAGCAAACACGACAGGTGGTATATAGCAACATGAGCAATTATAATTTGAAAATACAATATCGGTTTGATAGAGATGCTTATTGGAATCAACCGTTCTTATTCTTATTAAGATATTCAATTTGAAAACAATAAGTTTTTTGATTTTTTAAATTCTCATTAAAATATAAAATTTGAAAACAATAAATATAACATACAAAAGACCTGACTTGCGACAAAAGGACAGAATATAATTACAAACGTGTTTTGTACACCTCAATTTCAATAAACAAACAAACTGACTTTTATTAAATTAGTTTGTAGATCTTTATGATTAAGGTAAGTTTTGGTAGATTTTTTAAAAATGTTTGTCTATCTTTTTCGTTCAGCAATGTTATCGAATTTTTCCTGCTTCAAAAAAGTAACTGTCTGCAATTTGAAACATTTCACGTTTGGATACGGATTTTTCCGAGTGTTTTATACGATATTTTTAAGAATGTTAGATTTTAGATTAACCCATTGCATGCACTTATAACGACAATTATCATGTGTTAACATAATTTTGTAAATATTTATGGACTCTCTGTTCGAAATAAAGTATGTAATGCTTATACAAAAGGGGGTAGGGTTGCTATGCATTAATATTGAATTGCTTTAATTACATATTCAAGGACATAAACAATTACCGATCAGGCAAATACTATAATTTTCATGGAAATAAAATATGCAAAGTTCTTACAATGTTTTCATTAATAATCAGAAAAAAAATGTCTATTATCAAAATATTTAGAGGGATCCTTAGATGTCTTGTTGCAAGCCAGAGTTTCTTACCATTTCTAACATACCACCGGTCTCTCACCCTAGTAGGCCCTTTTTATAACTTATCTATTAAATTCATTATTAATATGATATCGTTCTGTAAATGAATGAAACATTTGCCGCTGGACATGGCGTAAAGAGTGGTAGTTCATAAAATCTAATTAAAATTTAAATTCCGACTTCGTTAGCCATATATATACGAGCACTCCAGCTAAGATAGATTGGTAGTTCATACTGTTTATAATCTATGAAACGGTTCAGAATACATGTTGTTTACGTAACTTTTTATGTAAGTCTGTAGAAGTATGATGAAATATAGAAAACATATACAAATGAACAGAATATATATATAAGTGCCTATAAATAGCAGCACATGACATACAAATCTATGGGAGTGTGGATTAATCAGTACAGAGATTAATTCAATTACACAAATAAAATTATAGATTGCCTAACAATGTAATTTTAACACACTATTTAGTATGTAAATATAAGAATGTTTAAAATATTTACAAAATGATGAAAATAAACGCAATATTTCGCTAGACTAACTAGCTTTATCAAGCGTGCATCTATCCAGGTGAAATCGGATGTAGATGATAAGAAACTTTTGTAGCTCAATGTATATGTTGCACTTGAATTTAGCTGCCTTGAAAATAATACATAATTTGGATGAAGTTCAAGATTTTTACAAAATTGGTAGTTGAAGTTAGCAACGTCCATTGGCCAATATTACAGGATAAAAAGGACGATGCTGTGTACTAAATTATTCTTTATCTTTCCTGTATCTTTTCTCATCATTTTCGTTAAGACCATCAGGTTCTAAAGTGTGGAGTTGGTGGATCCAAAAATTTTCTCTTCTCCTTCTCGCCGTGGTGTCCCACTCGGTGTTGAGTTCTATGATTTGGAAGGTAACATTATCAAAAGAATGTTTCGTTGAACGAAGATGTCTTGTGAGAGGTCTAAATTGAAAACAACGTTCAAACCTATATATATATATATATATATTGATGAAGTATTGATACTGGAAATAATTCATAAGTATTACAATAAGATTTCTTTGACCTTTACCTTTAAATCCGTTTAAACTAAGACTTACAAAAAATATTGGTATATAATAAACAATGAGAATAGAATCCATACTGTCTTTATCACATAACATAAGTCGTTAAGATGTCAATGTTTTCTTAGCTTTACCTCTTCAAAAGTAATGTTCGTTTCCACATTTTGTATTTTCTGTCCAGGAAAGCCACCACCTATGTCCAAGAGGTGCATGTTAAATCCCATAGCCAATCCAATGTCAAATACTTTTCGTGACTGCTCAATTGCTGACTCGAAAGCTCCTATTTCTAGACAACATCTCCCAACATAGAAACTAGGTTTTAAAAGATTCATACGAAATTATTGTTAGAAAATTGAGAAAATCTCAAAACTATAAACCATTTTATTCAGATTGTATTCGGTCTTGATTCTATATGTTGAATTTGGTGATTGTTACTCAACTTTCATGAACTACTAACTTAACAAAACGCATTGAGTGTTAAGTTTATTTATAAAAATCCCCTCCCGTATTGATATCTTCTATCTAACGTACAAAATGACTTCCTTAGAACTTACAGAGTTTTCTAATGTTATGAAATTCAGAGGCATCATTAACGCATTCAATTTATCATTAAATGGCCATAAGCAGATCGTATGTATATGACCAACATGAACATTATGTTCAATGAGTTCACGAGAAACAACAAACTCTAAAAACCTTTCTTTTAAGTTTAAACCAACCATCAAAAAGTTTGTAATGTAACAGTCATATCCACATTTTCAAAGTAATGGTATATTAATGTTTGCTTTTAAGGAGATTAAACAATGCAAATATCACTGAATGTAACAGTGCGTCTGTACTGTGATGGGGGACTTTTAAGTCCTTAGGTAAGTGCTTATAAACTGGGTTAAATTAAACATATCTAAGTGAACAAAACTTGGTTGATTGAATGATTCAGTTTTGTTGATATTTAATTCAAGTAATTTAATTAATTATAAATATTGCTTAATTTAGGGCTTTCGGAAGAAGATTGTTAATGTTCTTTGTTAAATTCATTGACCACTTGCCAAGATTCGTGGCATTGTATAACTTAAAATACTGCACTGTACATAAATGCGGATGTCTATTTGTGTATTTAGGATGCTTTCACATTTACGTATACCTCACAGCTCGTTTTTGTAGTACATATACTGCACAATAAATTAATGTAAACCCTGACTTTTCTTTAGGAAAGATAATCGTGTGAAACAGGCTCATTCAAGACAAAAATATTCACAAATTAAGGGAAAGCCACACTGTATTTGTAGAATAAGATGTCATTTAACAAACTATACCTATTGGCACTTTAGTTAATTGTTTGCGATTATACATCGTATCCTGATGGCCTTACCATACACCAATCACATTTAATTTGAGTTTCATAGCAACTTGCAAGAGTTCCGATGCTCTCAAAGGATGGCATCCACATTTTCTTCCTAGGTGAAATGTCACCTTGTAGTTTGATTGTGGACTGATTCTAAGCACCAATCTACAAATAAAAACCCAGTTTTGTAATAAAACAATTTTCTTTTTTAGGTTTGTAGACGTCTTTTGATTTTGTTATTGCAACCCGCTGTTAAGCCACACCAAGCACAACCAGCCCACATACATTCCATTCATATCATTATTCAAATCAAAGTCTGAATAAAAAAAAAAATTGTTTATAACTTGTACAATTTTTTATAATCTTTTCTTCAAACGATCATATCCAACCCAATTTGTCAATTAAAATAAAGATCATAATTATTTGACCCTGACAGTAGAATTAAATTCGAATAAGTCAAAAACGGTAAACGATAAAGAGTTTTGATAGAAATGTTTATGTAGAAACCTCCATACTATACACATTTAACATATTTTGCATGTATTTGAAGATTGAGTTAACATTATCAAAAGATTTTTTTTTTTAAATGCAAATATTACATACTTTGCCTCTGGGTATTCTTTCTTGATCTTTTCTAGTTCATCCTCACAATCGAATGGCATCAAAGAAACACCATTTTCAACCGCAAATTTGAGAAATGATGATTGTTTGAATGTGTTGGCGTAAATTAACCTTGATGGATCAACTCCAAGGTCTAATATCTTCTGTATCTCAATCTGTAAGTTACATTGATAAGTATAAAGTATAGTTCTGTGTTTTATATTGATTACTCAGGTGTTCTACCTCCGGGTATATATTGCCTTTGCAGTATTTTGACAATTTTGAATATTTTGGCTGTTAATGCTCTTCAGCTTCATGTTTTATCTGACCTTCGAACTTTTATTCGAGCGCCACTAATGAGTCATATGTAGACAAAACGCGCGTGTTGGGTAACACATTATAAGCCTGGTATCTTCAATAAGTTTTTACTAGTATCTTCAAACCAATATAATATATTTCCAATTATGAAACTGAATTTCATTCTTCTGTAAATGTTTGTAAATGTTTGCTTACACCAATGCAGCAAACAAAATAGTTTGTTAGGACTTGATATATGCTGATTTATAAAGACACTACTCACAAAATTAAATACGTAAACAATTGTCTTCATGTTTGACAGAAACAAGCATTTCAAATTCATTGGGTTTCCTGCTGTAAAAACATTAACAGTACCAATTTTTCTGAACCAGATGCACATTTCGATAATAAATGTCTCTTCAGTGATGCTCGTAGTAAACTATGTTCTATTATTAGTCATTATGCAGTTGTTTTGTTTACATGTAAATGTCCCAAATTATTAGCAAATCATGGTTAAACATTTTCATTAGCCATGACTTGATTATCAAAAACAAGTTCGATTACCTTACTTGCATAATCAAATGAAAGTCCCATATCTGCTAGGATCCTAATGACAGGGTCAACATCATTACATTTTATTGCTGTAAACAGAATAAATAACACTATTAGGGGGAGGGTTGGGCGCTTGCCACAAGTCAGAAGCCTGTAATTCAGTGTTTGAACTTGTCGTTTGCTGCTGTATACCATGTTTGTATTTCGTTTATTGTTTATTACATAAATCTGGCATTTACATTTGTCATTTCGGGGCCTCTTATAACTGACTATGCGGTATGGTTTTTGCTCATTGTTGAAGTCCGTACGGTGACATATACTTGTTAGCTTCTATGTCATTTGGTCTCTGGTAGAGAGTTGTTTCATTGGCATTTATACCACATCTTCTTATGTTTATACTATATCAAAATCGAAACAAAACACATTATTCTTATGACCAGGTTATTTTATAATTCCAAGTAGGAGGATGAAACAAATGAAACTACATACACTTTAAAAGGTATGAGAAATAACAAGGAATCGAACATAATAAGTCGGATCGTCTGCAGAATAAAAACTTAAATCACCTACTTCAGTTTAGTTTTGTTTGTTAGAATGGCTGTAATTACTTTACAATTTCTTTTATATCATATATAAATATTATGTGACAGGGAAAAAAATAAATATTCATACCATATTAAAACAAGATTGTCTTTATATTTGTCAGCATTTTCAGTAACATTACTATTAAAAAATCTTATTTCGTGTAAGAGGATTCAGAACATCTAAAAAAAAGTTAACTCTTTAAAAATCAGCTGAACGTTTTAATCACATACAATAGTAAGGAGAAATCAAGCTTCTCAATTATCAAAATTATTGTTCGTCAAACTGCTATCTATCCAATGAAATTATTTCTGTAAATTGTGTGGTTCAAATGTCTTGAAATTTTCATAGTTTTGTTAGCAGGTCAAAGTGTATTTGTCAAAGTTTAATGAAAATTTAACGAGCCAAATTTATTCTAGTCGAAGTGTTGGGTACTCCTTTAAACAGTACCGGTGCCAATTTTTACTGCGCCAGATGCACATTTGAACAATAAATGTATCTTCAGTGATGCTCGAGGACAAAAAATTTGAAAATCCAACACTTCGCACATTGAAATTTTGAAGAGTTAATAAAGCCAAAAAGGACGAAAGGCATTGCGTAACATAAACAACGAATCACCGCTTTGCATGATAACGATACATTTCTAAATCTTATATGATTTCGAATATTTCAAAAGTTCAATTAAACCTTTTCTGCATTTGCCTTGCAGAACCAAAGTTCTGGGTACTACAAAAAGGGGATATTTCATCGTCCTTTTTTTTTTTATCTCCCCTGGCCTTATGTTTACATATTAGGATTTTGCCAATTGCGTAAATGCTTACTGGATGACAAATGCCAAAAACTAAGAACTGTAATAAAACATATCATTCCACAAAATTGTAAGAAGCAAATTTCCTTTACAGGATTTCAATCAAAATGGCATGGCATCACATTAATATAAATTCTTAAAAAATTTCACTCGACCAAAATTAAAAAAAAAATGATTAATGTTTTGGCTATCCAGCTACTCCATGTGTATATATTTTTGATTCATGTTTTGTTCTTATAAAAATGTACTGGTTTCAAACATTTCATACTTCCTCATTTTTAATATTTATTTTGCAACATTTTCGTGACTTCAGTAAGTGTGACATCTACTTTTAAACGACAAGTGCATTGATTATTATTTTATAATTAGCCATTATGAGCATTAATTCACACAAAGAGACGTTACAAAATTATATAATCGAATAGCAATTATGTGTAGAAGCAATGTTGGTCTTGCCACGGGTGGGATAAACGAATAAAGGCGAAAGAACCCTCCCCGGGGTTCGTCAATCAAAGTTTTGTTACCACTGTTGTGCGTGAATGAAATGTTGAAAGGTCTTTTTATTCATTTACTTTTCACTTATATTAGGCTTTTGAATACGCACCATAAAATGGCTCTATTCGAGGAAAACACTCCTGCCAAGTTCTGTGTTTTCTTATGATATCTCAAAGGTTTCCGATAGCAAATGCATTGTCCTGTAGTAGTTTAGATATATAAAGATTTTGAAATCATATAGAATGGTTATATATGTATACATATATGATAAAACTCGATAACATCGCGAATTTCTCATGCAAAAAATCTGTATTACTACTTTTCATCAGTAATATGATATTTGATTTTGTTCTTTTTGGGATTGTTTGTATAATGAAACTTTAATAATTCAATATAATGAAAACCTTTTAACTGTATAGTGGCATAATTGTGTTAACAATAGAAAAAAAAATCACAAATATTTATTGATGGTTGAGGTTTGAAAAATGCAAGGCATATCATACTACATGAACGACATCGTTGTAATTTCAGTTAGTTTGGAATAAAATAAGAAGGACTAAAGGATTAAGGGGTATAGTTCATTGATTTATAAACTCAATTACACAATAAATCCACTTATCTCTATATTTTTTTTTCAAACTTCAAATATTTTATTGCACTAATAGTTGTCCCTTAGCGCTAACAATGACACTAAGATTCCTCCCTGTAGTATGATGATGATGGATGGCTGCTTAACGTCCAGCGGCAAATTAAATACATACTCAGAACGAGCAGATGCCAATGTATTATGAATATTTACCCTGTTTTGTACTAGACCGACACGCTGAGCCGGATTTTTAACGTGCTAGTTCACAATGTAACAGTCCGCAGGAAGACATATCACCTTGACTTTGAGCCTACCAGGCTTTGCTTTTACTCCTTAATGCCACGTGCTTAGCAGACCTAGAGAAGCAGCAACTATCAATTTTAAAGTTTTTGGTTTGACCCGGCTTGGGTTCGAACCCACGACATCCCGCACTCGAGGCGAATACGCTACCAAGAGACCGTCGAGGCGGTTCCTCCCTGTAGTATTAATTGTTATTAAAACTAGGGGGTTTAACTAGCAAACGTATTATACATTTGTACTTTGCGTTAGTTGCATTTTACAAAGTATTTCTTCAAGCACATGCATCCACAATCAACCGGCTAAATGATTACTCGATCAACGTACATCATAAACCTATATCAAAATAATAGAATATTAATATAAAACTGAAGATGATGATGATCTTAAAATCTTTTGCACTTGATCATTTGTTGTAATGATTATTACAGCCATTACGATCTTACGGAAAAGAAATCATTTCCTAGTTACATTAGAATGTTATCTTATGGAACGCCACAGCTGCCTTATGATAACGATAATCATATCATTAAGGGTTGAGATATAACATGAAGTAAATTTTCTATACTATTACGACATTTGACTGTACTACTCTGTCAATTTGCTTTATCACTTAGATAAATGTATATACTATAAAGACGTTTTGATATAACACGGAGTTACCTTTTTATACTATTCTGTCATTTTACTTTGTCATGAATATACTTTTGTATACTATGAAGACATCTTGATATAACACGGAGCTACCTTTTCATACTGATTGGTAATTTTACTATACTATTATGGGAGATTGCTATGTCATAAAGATACATTTTATTCTATAAAGACATCTTAATATAACATTGAGCAACTTTTTCATAATATTTTGTCACGTCACTATACTATTATGTTATGTAATTATCTTATTACGATAAATTTGTATACTATACAATCATCTCGATATAACATGGAGCAAATTTTTCATACTATTCTGTCATATTACTATCTTACGACGATAAAGTCGTATACTACAAAGACATCTTGATATAATATGAAGCCAACTTTTCTTACTATCTTATCTTCTCGCTATGCTATTCGGACAGATTACTATATCATAATGATACATCTTTATGCTGTAAAGACGAATTGATATTTTTTTTAGGTAGAATTTAATAAATTCGAGGTGAATATGGCATGTGAAAAATTGCCTCCCCCTTTATATATAAAAAAAGTCAATAATATAAAAATAAGAAAATGTGATATGATTGCCAATGAGACAACGCTCCACAAGAGACCAATTGACAAAGACATTAACAACTATTGGTCACCGTACGGCCTTCAACAGTGAGCAAAACCCATACCGCATAGTCAGCTATAAAAGGTCCCGAAATGACAAATGTAAAACAATCCAAACGAGAAAACTAACGGCCTGATTTATGTACAAAATAATGAACGAAAAACAAATATGATATATAGCAACAAACGACAACCACTGAATTACAGGTTCAGTCTTGGAACAGGCTCATACAGAATGTGGCGGGGTTAAACTAGTTTAACTCTGGACGGAAAAATCAAAATTTCACCAAAAATTATATAAACCATAAGACTATCATTAAAAACGTCAGTGTAAAGTTTGAAGTTAATCAAGCAAGGCATTGTCAAGATACAGCTTGACGTGAAACCCCCCTTTTTTACTGAATAAAGTCCATAAAACTAAAACGAAAGGTTAAAATTTCACCAAAAGGATACAGACCTTGCGACCATCACCACAAAAAACTGAGTACAGTTTAATGTTAATCAGGCAAGGCATTCTCAAGATACGGTGCTAAAAAAATCTAAATTTAACCAAAAAGTATACACACCGTTAGACTATCATAATAAAGTTTGAAGTTAATCAAGTAAGTCATTCTCAAGATACGGTGCGACATGTTTACGACGGACAGACGGACATCTGTATACCATAATACGTCCCGTCAAAATTTGACAGGCGTATAAAAAACTTTTTAAAAAGGTATAAATGTTTTATACAGAAAAAAAGGATAGCATTTGTCTACCTTAAGAAACTATTCCTACCAATTAACCCGCTCGTCCTTGATACTCCTGGGATGTGAAAGCAACTTGATGTACATGAACAAACTTGACCCATTTGGCAGTTCATAACAAAACGTCATACCATGAAAGCGTAAAAAACAAGATATTATAATAGTAAGAAAATCAACACCGAATGCAATGCATTAAACACAAGCCAACAATTTAAACAGACAGCAGCTGAAAAACGGGACCTTGTTGTTTTCTGAGCTGCACAGATTTGGGGAAAATTACAAATTCAGTAACGAAATGAATTTTTACTACATGTAAATGTAAATATTATTTCCCTAATATTGTTTTTAAAGATTTTTGGTAAAGTAACACAGTGTCTTGCTCACACTTCTTTAAAGATATGTCTAGAATACATATTTCTTAATTCCATCTGGAAATCAATAGCTTTCAATAACTTAAAAAGAAACAAAGTAAATTTTTTTCACTTTGACCTTTGTCAATTATCTTTTAAATTGGTGACCAATCGTCGCATTTAATGAATTTTAGTACTACAAAATTCCTGGTATTTATACCAGGAGCCGCACAACTGACGACTGGCGGCTAATCGTACGAGTTTTTCGTTTGTAGAGCCACTGTCATATTTTTACAGTGATAAAATTCAAATGTTTGTAATGTTGACTATATACTCAACAGGATAACAGTTAATATTAATAGCAATTTATTTTGCAAAAGAAAGGCATCAACATTGTGAGAAAGTTGTAGGTCCATAAAAAGTGTAGATTACATGGGCATACAACTTTTAGCACATGAGAAATTATATAAGTATCAATTCTTATCAAAAGTTATTGCATAGGCCTGTTACCTGAATAAGTGAACTTTATAACAAAAACTATCAAATCCTAAATGAAGCATGTTATCACTATGAAAATGAACTTCAAACTTTACACTGTTGTGTAATGGTCTGTATAATTGTTGGTGAAATTTTGATTTTTCTTTCCAGAGTTATGGACTTTTTCATATGAAAAGGAGGGAGTCAATTGTTTACATGCCATATTCGCCTCGAATTTATTAAGTTCTACATAAACAAAACAAAAAACACCTTTTTTATATTCCTTGGTCAGCATTACTGTTATATCAATACGTATTTATACATTGTAGCATAAAAATGTATCATTATGATATAGTAATCTTTCAGAATAGCATAGTCAGGTGATAAGCTAGTATGAGAAGGGTGGCTCCATATTATATCAAGATGTCTTTGCAGTATACGACTTTATCGTCGTAAGATAGTAATATGACAGAATAGTATGAAAAAGTTGTTCCATGTTATATCGAGTTGATTGTATAGTATACAAATTTATCGTAATAAGATAATTACATGACATAATAGTATAGTGACGTGACAAAATAGTATGAAAAAGTTGCTCAATGTTATATTAAGATGTCTTTATAGAATAAAATGTATCTTTATGACATAGCAATGTTCCATAATAGTATAGTAAAATGACTAATCAGTATGAAAAGGTAGCTCCGTGTTATACCAAGATGTCTTCATAGTATAAGAGAGTATCTTCATGACAAAGTAAAATGACAGAATAGTATGGAAAGGTAACTCCATATCATATCAAAACGTCTTTATAGTATATGAGTTTATCTTAGTGATATAGCAAATTGACAGAGTAGTACAGTCAAATGTCGTAATAGTATAGAAAAATTGCTTCATGTTATATCTCAACCCTTAATGATGTGATTACCGTTATCATAAGGCAGCTGTGGCGTTCCATGTTATCTTAACAAAAATTGATATCACTGCAAATATGACATATTGATAGACAGACAGACTGTTTCACACAAAAACAATATATTCTATATACAGGAACATTCTCTATGGTGAATTTCACTTGCGCGAATGTGAGGTATATGAAATTTTGCGTAATTCTTTTTGACTTCTAATAGCCATACATTGAGTGAGTGTTCATTCTGGTTGGTTTTCATTATTTTTTATTTATGGTTAGTTTTGGTTTTTTTTGTTTCCGGTTTTTAATGTAGGGATTTGATTGTCTCCGTCTTGCACTCGTTCGTGGATAAATTAGTTTTCTTTGTAGAACATTCACTTATGAATACGTGTAAGGCTTATCTATGTCAAATTGGCTTTATTATTCATACCATTTTATATATTCTTAGCTATATGATAATAAAAGTACATGTATATGAAAAACAACTGATTACCTCATGTCCAACAGAGTTAATTTTCCCCTGGATTTGGTTGCTGATGGGTATTAATTTTTCCACTATTTCTACATGTTTATTAACATCGACACAGGTCTTACTGAATCTCTATTTAGCCAGCAAAATATCTTCAGCGTTATGAAAATCAACCAATTTTCTATATGTACATACGAGTATATCTCAAAACTATAGAAACAAAAGTCACTCAAACTAAAAGAGAGGTGAAAGATACCAAAGGGACATTCAAACTGGTAAGTCGAAAATAAACTGACAACGTCATGGCATAAAAAAAAACAAACAACAGTACACAAAACACAACATAGAACACTAAAGACTGAGCCACATGAACCCCACAAAAAAAACAGGGGGTTATCTCAGGTGCTTCAAAATGGTAAGCAGATCCTGCTCCACATGTGGCACCTGTCTTGTTGCTCATGTAAGTACAAACCCGGAGATAAGTCTTATTCGGTAGGTCACATTCACATTTTCTTAAGTAATTATAAGTTGTTTGTTCTTTTTTGTTGTGATGCTGCCTTTTTTTGCCTGTGTGGTGTAAATTAATGTAACGGTTCTGTCTACCCTGTACTCCTTAAATGTAGATTTTCATATCGAAGTTTCATAACTGGTCATATGTAAGGGTGAGATAATTAAATGTACTGACGGTTTATGAATTTGTTAGCGTCTTTGGGTTAGCTAAATAAACTCATCATAGATACAAGGATTGAAATTTTGTACGCCAGAAAATGTTAAAAAGGCAAAATAAAGTCATTTGACGACTGGCAAAGTAACAGATTAAGTAGGAGCTACACCTGTTTGTTATCAGAAAACAGATAAACTTTACTGATTTTACTTTTTATATTACATTATAATTCATGATCACGACTTATTCCCCCTTAATTTCAGGAGGATACCGTACATTCAGAGCTGATTTTTTGTATAATAATTATACAGAATAGTTTTTTTTTCCCTGAATAGTTTTGAAATGCTTCCTTTATTATTCATATTATTTCAAAGAACGTAATCGATATAAAATGTCTGACCGCTTAATGGGTTTTAAAGCTTTGATAAGTTAAATGTAACAAACGCTGATATGTACTAAGTAAGGGTTTAGATAATGGACTTAATGTTTATTTTTCACTGATACCGTTTTAATGGACAAGCGATGTGTCAAGCAATAATTCCTCTTAAACTGATACCATCAGAAAGTTATATTTATTATATTTGGTTCTTATTTTTATCAACAGCCTTGCTTGTTCTTTTAATCGTGTGAGACAGATTTAATGCGTGGGCTTCTTAAGACCGTTAAGAAGCTATTATAAGCCTTCCGCGTACCGCTACTTAGAGAATGTCTCTTACTTATCTTACGATACAGTTTAGTTTTCTGATCTGTAATTTTACCGATTGTGTTTTATTTCCGATTGCAAAAATTTGACTGAATGTGGATTCGCATGGCGGGTCCTGTATGCATATCAAGAGACGCTCACTATGTCGACGCAAACGGTCTCCTTTTGGAGTGCTTGCAATTCCCTCAGATTTTTTTTGTTACCTTAAATTGTCTATTCACGAGATTTGAACATATGTAAACTACTGCTGCCTTGATTTTATTCTCCTTTGAGTTATACACTCAAGGATATCCATAGTTTTGTTTTAACGAGGTTCATATAGGTCCTTTTGTAGTTTAAAGGGTTGTATATTATTTAATGTCTTTGTTGTTTCTACCGGGAACAGTATCCTTTTTAAAAATCTGTTTTGTGAAATCTAGGATTAGATAATTTTCATGTAACAATAGTTCGTGAATTATATGATATCATAATGTGATATAATACGCTTTTAAGCAATCTGTTTTATAAAAAGACCATAAACCCACTTATTCATGGTATGGTATCAATATTTCTGACCTCTGTAATTTCTTGAGTCTGTAAAAAGACTAGCTACAACGTAGACCTATATGCACGTGTAGTTAATAAATTAAATTAAAAAAACTGTTATGAAACAGACACACATCTATCTATGATACTAGATACGAAATAAATAGCTAAAGGTCGGCCTCTGATGAGGGTTTACCTGGGAATACTCCCGAAAGAACCCGAAACATTGCATATTAAATTCTAAAGAATTAAGCAATAAAAAGTACGTAGTGTCAGGTCAGAAATATTGATACCATACCATGAATAAGTGGGTTTATGGTCTTTTTATAAAACACTATACTATATGCACAATGTAATAGTATACAATTCTATATGTATATAATACTGTACATCTTTCTTTATGTATATAACACTGTACATCTTATACAATATACATGTAACTAGTTATGTAAATAACATAGATCTACTATATAGCTATCACTATTTACATATGAAACAAAGATATACCTGAAACAATAAAGTAATGAATAAAAATAAAATAAAATAATACAGAAACAAAATGTATGCATATAACATACAAGACACTGATATATATATATATATATATTGGAAAATGATACCGAATCATATTTGACTGAAACATGGAAGTTATACTATTATACTAGCAAACAACCTTATGTCAACATAGTCCTTAAACATACTTGAAATATTTGCAATTGGACGTATAGCAATCAACAATCAATAATTCATCACTATGTTAAACCTAAGAAGGTAACATGGAAAATAATTACAAACTGATATGATTGTAAATGAACTAGCTAAGGGAAGTTATACTATTATACTAGCAAACAACCTTGTGTTATCACTATATATATCATCGTCTAAAACATACATGAAATATTTGTCACTGGACTTTAAGTAACCACAATCAATAATTCATCGCTGTATCGTGTCAAACCTTAGAAGGTAGCATGGAAACTAACTACAAACTAATATGATTGTCAATGAACTATGGAAGTTATACTATTATACTAGCAAACAACCTTGTTTCACCACTATATGTATCATAGTTCTAAACATACATGAAATATTTGCCACTGGATGCTAAGCAACCAACAAATCTTTAATTCATCGCTGAATCATGTCAAACCTCAGAAGGTAGCATGGAAACTAACTACAAACTAATATGATTGTCAATGAACTATGGAAGTTATACTATTATACTAGCAAAACAACCTTATGTCATCACTATATCATAGTCCTAAACATACATGAAATATTTGCCACTGGATGCTAAGCAACCAACAAATCTTCAATTCATCGCTGTATCATGTCAAACCTTAGAAGGTAGCATGAAAACTAACTACAAACTAATATGATTGTCAATGAACTATGGAAGTTATACTTTTATACTAGCAAACAACCTTATGTCATCACTATATCATAGTCCTAAAAATACATGAAATATTTGCCACTGGATGCTAAGCAACCAACAAATCTTCAATTCATCGCTGTTTCATGTCAAACCTTAGAAGGTAGCATGGAAACTAATTACAATAATTTGATTGTCAATGAACTATGGAAGTTATACTATTATACTAGCAAACAACCTTGTTCCACCACTATATGTATCATATTTCTAAACATACATGAAATATTTGCCACTGGATGCTAAGCAACCAACAAACTTTAATTTATCGCTGTATCATGTCAAACCTTAGAAGGTATCATGAAAATTAACTACAAACTAATATGATTGTCAATGAACTATGGAAGTTATACTATTATACTAGCAAACATCCTTGTTTCACCACT